TGGTTTGTTCTACGTTGCACCTACCTAGGCTAGGGGATGTATTAAAAAACAATTGTATATATACCCTAGCTAGATTTTTTTAGTATATCCTAGCTACGTCAGCTCTTAAAGGGGACAACTCCTTGTACTTGTACCTCCCCTCCCCTTTTCCTACTGCAACTTTTCTCGCTATCTCAACAAAAAGATGTTGTTCAGCAGATATAGAACTGGTATAGTACAGATCATGATACAAGCAAGTGTGAGACAACCGGGACTAGACGAAGCTGAGTGCAAAACCGGTGATGGTCACGAGGCCCAAGGGCCTTGGTGAAGATATCAGCAGTGTTGGCCTCTAAAGCCAGCTGTACTACGCAGGCCTGGCCACGCTCTTGCAACTCACGCAGCAGGAAGTACTGCAACTGGATGTGCTTGGCCATTTATCAGCAAACAGAAGTGCGACAAGCCTAGATTTGCTGGATGTGCTCACCTCAGTCAGTAAGCAGAAACGTCAGGCAGTAGAGCTCCTGAGCGGCCATAGCACCAGACAAGTGGACTGATCTACAGACGACGTCTGAGTGGACCGCCATAAGACGGCACCTGCACCAAGGCTAAAGCCGCCCTGTGACAACCTAAGTGTCTCTAGGGCATCAGCCCACAATACATCTATATGTCCAGTGATGACCACTAGCTCCCGTCCCTCCTAGCACAAGCCCCATGTACTTGCCAAATCTCGCAATAACATCTTGGAAGCCGACAACTACTTGGGTCGGTGTCTGCTAGTCGCAACGAAGCGAGCAAGGATACTAAGAGGGTTCGCTAGATCTGGGTGACTGCATACCATCATGTACATGAGGCGCCTAACTAGCTTTGCGTATGGACCACTCGGCTCAACCAGCTCACCAAAAATAGGAGTAGAAAGCTTGTGGTCCACAGGCAGAGGGGTGTGCTGTACTGACGCGAACTGAAAGCCGAACCGTTGGAGGATCTGCTGTAACATATGGGACTGGGAGAGTGTTATCGTGCACGCTACACTATTATGAGAGAACTCTAAGCTCAGATAGCACCGCAGCTCTCCCATGTCTGTACTGGCGTGTCGCCTGAGCAGCTTGGCCTTCATTGAGGTCAATGTGACTCTGTATAGAGTGGCAAAGATAAGGTCTTCTACGCATACAAGTATGTAAAGCAGAGTGTGACCAACACGAACAAAGAACAAGGGGTCAGCACAGGACACGAAGAATTTGAGAGCCGCGAGTGTGGTTCGGAGCGTGTCGTGCCACTTACGGGGCGCCTGGCACAGATCGTAGACAGGGCGGCACGGGCTCGACAGGGTCCCAAAAGCGAAGGACCCAGTGAAGCCTGGTGGGCGCTGCAAGATCTGCTCCTGAAGGCTGCCCTGCAGGAAGGTTGTCAAAACTCTATGGACTGGAGTTCGTAGTCACGCTGTGCGGCTATGTGGAGGAGCACCTGGAGAGTAGTTATCTTCAGGGTGGGGGAGAAGGTATGAAAAAGTCCATACCCTCTCGCTTACGAAAGCCTCTGGTCATATACCGCGCCTTGAGCTGTGGCGACTCTCCATGTGGGTGCTTTATCTTATAAATCCACATGTCATCGACTATGTTCGCTTCAGGTGGAGGAGTTACGTCGACGTAAGTGCCCGTGGATCTATAAAATGTCATCTCTGGCTCCATGACCTGTATCCACTGCACTGCCCAAGGACCTAAGACTGCCTCAGCGTACGAGCGCGGGGTAGAGATGTCTAGGGCGTCTAGGTTACCCTCAGGGGACACAAGCATGGCGCACAAATAAGGTATAGCGGCCGCAAGGAAAGCCAGCTCGTGCTGCCTATCCTTCAGGAGATCACTGCCAGACCAGAGGGACGGAGGATGGGCAGGGTCAGAGACCAGAGCGGAGGCGTAGTCAAGGCAGTGGCTCACAACACAGTTTGCGATCGCAGTAACAAGGGCAGAGACACCAGTAGGAGGAGTCGTAGGGTTAGTGACAAGAGATGCAAGCAAGCGGGAGACGATTGGACGAGCACTGAAGGCGGGCGAAATGTATGCAGCTCGTAAGGAGACCACATTTGGGTGTAGTGATTTGATTTTCGGGGGAGACTGCGCGGCAACCCTGTTATGCACCCGCCCTCCGTCATTTTCTCAATTTATTGTACCTTGCACTGTAATAATGGCCATTATTAGCACTGTAGCTTGTCATTTGTGCAAGGTGGAGAAATTTCTCGATTTCTCGAAAAGGAACCATGCTGATCGTGCTGCTGACAGGAGAAATCCAAATGACTCAGCAGTTTCGAGAATTCGTACGATTGTGAGAAGGGTAGAGTCCTCATCGGCTCATCGCAATTGCCCACGTATTTTTTCATGCAATTGCATGCATTTGAATTGTAAGGAGCCTCATCTCTCACCAACGGCTGCGATTCTGCAATGCTGCCTTGCTTGCAATTGACATGGCGAAATGAGCTGAACTTTCCCCACAACTTTTTAGCAGCACCTGGTTTCTGGTCGAGGGTCTTGTGATAAATTCGTACTTAAGCATTTCTGTAAGTAAATCCGTTCTGATATTACCGAGTCATACTGTAGTTGGCATCAGTAGAGTGACGTCAGCAAATACGATCGTCTGAATGATTACGTCAGCATGCCGTTTCAGTCACGCGAACAGGCATGCCCCTTTCAGTAGCGATTAGAGCACATGGCGCGAATAGCTTTGTACAGACACACTACAGAACAGGTACTTCTAACGGAAATATAAGTAGTTTGTCTCATATTATTAACTTGTTCTTCAAGTAAATTCCATACATTACTTACAAGTTCTAAGACTTCCGTTGTCTTATGAGTCTACCATTCCAGCAAAGATCCTTGCTCAAGCCTTGAAGTATCACAAGGCTATAACACTAATTCTGGTGTTACAAATGTTAATACTGATTATTACTAGAGGTACTTTTCAGTGTTTTTTGGGTTGCAGAGCAACCTATTGCAATCAATCTGACATTTTTCTCTCTAAAATAATAAATAGACATTCCAATCTCTAAAATAATAAATAGACATTTTGTCAAAACATAAGAAACATCAAATACACCGCACCGGTGTATAATAACATTCACCAGAGATGATATATTGTAGCTGATTGTTATGGTAGACCAAAACAATAATCATATTTTTTGGTTTGCTTAGATATTGGTTTCTTACGAAACCCTTCTTTCTGTTCGGAAAGAAGCACGTATGAAACGTTGGAAAACAAATCGATGTATATCTGTTTTCCATAACACTGTCATTTTATTAAAATATATATATGTTATATAATTGTAGGCTTGGTAGGCGTTACTAAAACTTACTGTAGAGGGTACAACACCCCTCCTTGTATCCCTCTCTCTTCTATTCTCAATTCCCTTCTCTCTCGTAACTTTCTCCTAGCCTAAAACCTCTCGCCATCTATGGCTCCTTCTACCTAGCTAACCTAAGTTTAACATGGGAACAGAGCAGGTTGCCCTTCCCGGGCCTGCTCCCCATGCTTCTGCCGCGCACTCCTCCTCTCCCTCTCGCGCTGCCATGGCGGCCGCGTCGTGCTGCTGTGGCGGCATCGTCGTGCCGCCGGCCGCGTCGTGCTGCCGCGGCCGTTTCGACGCGCTGCCGTGGCGTTGCGCTGTCGTGGCGTCGCCGTCACGCCATGGCGGTGTCGTCAACGTCGAGCTGTGGCGGCGTGGTGGCGCCGTCGTGCTGCCGTGGCGACGTGCTGCCAGCGTGCGTACGGCACGGTCGGCAGCGGCCAGCGCCCTGTTTTAGGCGCCGCCGGTCCTGACGCCCGCACACCAGCCACGGGCGTGATGCTGGACCACGCCCCTCCCCCCCCCCCCCCCACCCCCGCCCTTTCCCCTGCATCCCATCCTCCTCGCCACAGCTGACGCCTGACTCGTGAGGGTCTTCCCCATCATCGCGGAGCTTGGCCATGCCGCCGAAAGGGCAGGCGCCGCTGCCGTCGCCGCTGTCGTCGAAGCCGCCACCGCCGCCGCCGCTGTCGCCGCTGGCCTGTTGCCGCCGCACGCCGCCGCCGCTGCCGCTTTCGCCATCTCCCAGGCTGTGGGGTTGGCCATGCTGAAGTAGTCATGGCTGCTGCTGGGAATTGGGGGTGCTAGGTTAGGGGGGGTGGGTGTGTGTGGGTTCTTCTACTACCAAGCCTAGGGGGTGTGTTAAATTGTATATATGTTATATAATTGTAGCCTTGGTAGGCGTTACTGTAGAGGGTACAATACCCCTCCTTTTATCCCTCTCTCTTCTATTCTCAACTCCCTTCTCTCTCGTACCGTTCTCCTAGCCTAATACTGTTAAGATAGGAAGGCTAGGAGGTATGAAAGGCCGCCATGATAATGGCGGCGGGGTTTAGCTAGGAGGTAGGCGAGAGTGTCGAGAGAAAAGAGAATAGATTAGAAAGAGAGAGGGATACAAGGAGGGGATTGTACCCTCTACAGTAGGGTTCGGTAACCTACCAAGCCTACCAATTATATAACACAATATATAATTTAACACACCCCATAGGCTTGGTAGTCACAAGCCCACCCAACACACACACCCCCTAACCCTTTACACCCCCATGCTCAAGATCAGCCGGGTATCGACCCCTCGGGCTTGGCATGGTGACTTCTCCCGGCGAGAGGCAGCGCGGGCAACGGCCATGGCTGAAGGCTCTCGGCGGTGTGGCACAGCGAGGCGACGACCGGGTAGAAGACAGCAGCTGCAGAAGGAGGAAGAGGAGATGCAGGGGAAGGGAGGGGGGCAGGGGGGGGGGCGAATCTTCAGCGACGCACCATGGGTGGCGCGGCGCTTACTGGCGGGAGGGCAAGCGGGTGGCGGTTACGACAGCGTGCTGCCCGCTGCTGCCCATCGACGCTGCCGCAGCAGCATGACGACGCCGCCACAGCGCGGCACATTGATGCTGCAACGGCAGCAAGGCGACGCTGTCACGGCGAGGCGTCAACGCCACCACGGCAGGGCGTTGAGGATGCGACGGCCGCACGA